TCTTGTTACTAATATTTTACAAAGCTACAGGTCAAAATCTGAAATAAAAGACAATATTTTAATTAAATGCTGATATATCTTGGGCAAAGCAGTGATGATACAGGGCCGTGAAAATACATTGTCATCTATTAAGGTTGTGTCTGCATTCTCAAAGGAGTGTATCTATTCCTAGAGCTGTGCTGGATAAGTGAACAAAATATGCTGGGTATTTTTGCTATTCTGAGACTTTCTGTTAGACTGATATTTGAGTGAAATATTCTGTGGGACAAATACTGTTTACTTAACTCATGGAAGCTAGTCTGTTTATTTCAATGAGTTAGCAAAGTGAACTGGATTTTGTTTTTTGGAAATTATTCAGAAAGCTGTGCTATATTTTTATGGAGGAGCCTCCACTAGTGTGGATGTCACTATATGATTAAATCAATGGGGAACCTGTGGGGGTGTTCGAAGATATGGCATTGAGTTTGCAATGTTTTAAGATTAACAAACACACCCTTGAAGGGGGGGCATGAACAAGGCAGATGGACCCAATATCCAATACACTTTAAATGGTATTAAGTAATATTCATGGTTATTTATTATGTTGTATATTTAGGGTTTCTGTGGATATACAGCACTGGAATTATTATGTTCTAAACTAAGAATTTTAGAGTAGTTTTAACAAATGTTCTATTCATCTGTAAAAATTGGAAATGTATTCTGTCAATGGAGGTTAGTACATAAAGACTGATGACTGTTGAAAAAAAAAGTGAACTTTTGTTTGAATATAACTATTTGTTTTGATGGTAATTGAGGCAATTCCTTCACTTTCCACAAACATTCATTAGATGACATTCTGTAGAAAAACTGTTACATGCAATGATGCATTTCTGTATCCATATGAATGCCTGAACTGGAAGTCTGTGTGCAGTTTTTAGGGAAGCCTTTGATGGGTTGTAAGTTTACCAACCAAGGGTAAAAAAAAAGGATGTCAGGCAATTGGGGATGACCAACAACCCCCTATAAATACTAATTTATGAGTGGTGAATTCCCAAAATACAGAAAACAGTCATTTTAGTGAGTAGCTTGTGAGCAATCTCATGGGCAGAAGTATGTTGGCAATTACTCATTCAATTATTTGTGAAAAATATATCTGCTCATTGACATTTTGAAAAAAAAAAAAGATAAATCTCTTAAATGCATAGTGGGGAAATATGTTGCCAGCTAACAACCCAAAACACACAACTCCCCTTACAAATATTTAGCCACCTTCTGATGGATATTTCTGAACTTCTGATATTTCTTATTGGAAGAGGTCTGTCTAGATGTACAGACTCTCCAGTTCCCCAAACAGCAGAAATATAACCCCAGAGTTGTGACACAATTTGAATAAACCCCCAAATCTATATGAGTGGCTTGGTCCTGGTCTGAAATTTGCAGCTAGATGGCTTTTTTCAACAAAATTCCATTTTTTTTTTTTTACTTGGGTATTTAAAAAAAATGGATTGCAATTTGAACTTTGAACCAAAATTCACTTCTAAAGGCTAATGCATGAGCATTAGGGATACACATTTGAAAATGCAGCTATTGGCAGTCATTAGTTTAAACTCCTCTGCAGACCACAGGTAGATCCAGAACAGCTTATAGCTCGTGATTTATGATCTGCTGCAGTCACAAGATTTACGAGGGCCCCATTCCTGCATCCTTCCCTTCTCATTGGCCCTGAGAATCGGTTCTCCCATGCTGCTCCTCTGTGCCATGCCTTGGAGGTTCAAAGGAGGTTTGTTTCCTGTGTCTCCTTCTTCCTTTGATGTCTTTGCTGAAACTCCCAAGAAGAAAGGTCATTTTTAAGGGAATATTTTTATCATGTAGGCATGGGACATGAATTGAGACTGACAGATTCATTTAATGCAGGACACATGGATAGTGCTTGCAACTTATGGTCCATATGTGCATGGACTGATTTCATATTGGTAGCTTAGCTGGCATTCAAATGTCTTACTTACAATGTTATTTGTGCAATTTCAGCCTCATTTCAGTAGTGGCTGGACAGCAGTTCCCATATGTATAGGCATGGAGCTCTTCATGTATTCCTTTTCTGGCTTGGGGGGGTAATATAATTTAATGACACAATTGTTTATTTTTTACAATTTTTCAATTAAGACTGAGCTCCTAAAACACTGTATTACTAAAATGGTTTCTTACTTTCCTGAAATTTCTTCTGGTTCTCAAGTATACAATGACTACCTTAGTATAGTCAAAACGGTACCCTCCATTACAATTTGATGACTTAAGATTTTCTTTAGAAATAAAACAACTGAAGTAGAGATATTTCATTTCGCTTCTTCCTGAAATGTACAATGATTTTGTTTATATTTTTGGATTTCAGTTTTCCTCTGAATGATTTGTTATCTAAAACAAAATCAGGGCTTTTCTAGTACACAGTAATTAAAAAGATGAGAACTAACAAGTACTAGAAAATGAGTTTTGTTCATTGTAGATTGGTGACCTGGACTGCAATGCTGAATGCCGATAATGACCTGAAAGTCAGAGAGACTGAAAAGACTGACAAAACTTATTACAAAATTATTACTGAAATTGTTAAGAAATGTGTGCTTTGAGGCAGTCATGTGTCTTTAAGCTTGTCACGATTCACAATTCAGCTTCTTTTTAAAGGTGTTCAGTGACGAGTCTGAATACAGCATTCCCAGCAACTCTGGTAGTGTCGGTGCTGCTAGCCTAAAATATTCCACCTTTTGTCGTAGCCCTTCTTCCCACGTGGCATGTATTAGTACACCTTGCCCTGTTATCAAGTGTCCCCCTTCTTCTGCCCCACTCTTCTTTCAGCCAAAAGCAATTACAGTATAGGTTTTTGTGAGAACAGGCATTGGCCCCCTTTCTCAGGATCTCTTTCCTCAAGAAACTATAACTGCACCATGCCTGGTTGGTTTGGGGGAGTTGTTTAGGGTAACTACTGGAGTTCGACAGAGTTTTTGTGTTTTCTTTTATTGTTGCTAATTTGAATTTATTTTTAAAAGAGGAATTAAATTACCTAGATGGGAAGATATTGATGTAAATTTCCTTACTGCTAAGTTAATAGGATTGAAATTAGGAGCATGTACATATTTTCAAGAAGCATAAAAATATATAAATACAATTTAGGGACCTTAGAAAGACTTCAGTTTTAAGAGAAATATAATTCCTTGACTTGCTTAGCTCATCTGTTTTTTAAATGCCATGACCAAGACTGAAAACCTCTTGGATCTTCAGTGGTTCCTCAGGATTGTGTTGAGCCTTTCCTGAGAACAACATCCTGCATATCTCTCTCCTAGTTTCCTTCAGCGTTTTTCAAAGAATCCCCAACCAAGCACTATAACAATTATGCTTTATAATACGTTCCACAGTATATCTTCTTTATAATTTTATCTGGAAATTTTGTGAGGGAGTTCCAACAGCAAACCTAAAATATGGAAGTGTTGCAACATGTGCTACCACACATAGGTACATGCAATTATTTTACAGCTCAAGACGACTAAAGTCTATCTCTGAAATTAATACTTTTTAGCTAATCAAATATTACAGAAATATAACCCTTCTATTATTAATTTCTCCTTTGGTGTACAGCTATCACTGCACATTCAACCCAAAGGATCTTGTGGTTCTTTGCAAATGACATATGTACAGGAATTCCTTCAACAATGAAATGCCCAGGCTTAGAGAGTGGGCTGCAGCCAAGAAAATAATTAGCTTATAGCACACTGCATAACGTTTGTGAATTGCATGTGTTAAGGATAATTCTGATCCAGAGCATAACAGACAGTCCATCTCACCAGTGCATCCTGCTGGAAACGTCTAATATTTAAAAGCTCTATTAAAATTTTTAAAACTATCAGCAACCTTATTAATTACAATCAGTATGATCCACTAAAGTTTTCTTTTTATTTGCATATGTACATGTATTTTAATACCCATACATACAATTAAAATTTTGATTTATCATTGACATCCCTAAAACTTCTCTGTTTTAACAAGTATTTTCCTTTCAGGGTCAGGTTTTAATAATTGATGATAAAGGGAGTTAGAAGAAACTCGGCTTATCCATTTGAGAGGAAAACGTACATCTATATTGACTAAGATAGGGCAGTATATGTCTGTATTGACTACTGATACTGACTGACAGCTCTTAGTACCAGCCCATACACAGACTTACTGGTATAAAATGTGAGCTAGACAGTGAATTGTGTGGGGGCATTTATCTTTCTAAATAGTACAGCACCTGCTGCCTGTTTCTTGTTACTTATGTAGTGCTGCTAGCTTGGAGATCCCCAAACATTTTACCAAGGTTAATTGAGGCATAATCCAATTTAAATGGGGAAAAAAAAAAAGTAATAAAAAAGCTCCAACAAAAACCTAAAACTTTTTCCCTGTTTAACAAATAAGAAACCACCAAAGAGTTTTATGATGTGGCTTTGCCAATAACACATGGTGGGCCCTGAGTTAATACTTATTGTCAATACTGAGTGCCATAACTACACCTGTCAAGCTCTTTCTCTGACTGGGTTTATCCTTCCCTTTGCTTTTGGAGTAGAGGCAGCCAGTTGTTGTGGGACTGTACAGTCCTACTACAGTAAGACTAACTGTGGTTTTCCAAGAGCATCCACAACTGTTGTAGTGTTGGCAAGTAATTATAAGGACAGCAATGCTTATAACCTCCCCAGTGATACCAGTCTTCTATTACAGTCTTTTCATAGGAGACCTTCAGTAAGTGCTCCAGTGTCTTGCAGAGAAAAATATGTTGATTTGATCTCTATACCAGCGTGAGGAGAAGACTGTTAACCTCAGTCTTTACCATAAGTTTTACTTTCTAAAGAATTTAACTTAGCTTGTCTAACTTGCTTTCCTTGCTTTGTCCTCTCCTTTCATTCTCATCTCTGCACTGACTCCTAGGATGCCTCTATTCTCAAAATTATTACACCAACTCTCAGTTAATGTCGCTATTTAGGTACTGTCTTTTTCGGCAGATTCCTCAGGACAAATTTCTTCTGCAAGTCCTTTCAGAGGAGACCTACCAGTGAAATGCCCACAATAACACATTGAAAAGGAGATGATGAAATAAAATGGCAAGGACTATGTGGAACCAAACAGCAAGTGCTGGCTGTCTTCTTGTAGAAAATCCTTACATTGCTCAAGCATCTCTACTCTATTCCTCCATTTGCTTCATGCCCCACAAGGTATGTTTGAGATTAGTCTAATTTAGAATATTAGCTTTTCAGGAACCAATGTTTTTAAATATTTTATCTGTATTGAGATATGTACATGTATGGCACTGTATCAGTAAGAAGAGGAAAGGCATCAGCACAGTTCCTTTAACTCAAATTTATGTGTACTAACCAACAGATTCATTATTTCTGCTCTTCCATGCTTAGATTTCCAAGTCAGATCTTTCATGACAAGGCTGCAGATGGAAAGCCATACTTTGAAATAAAACTTTAAGAAGTAAAGTGGGAATAAATGATCTTTATAAAGGTAATCCAAGTAGTTATTATTTAATAGCTGATATTTTTGCTTCTCCCTTCCCACTTACTGCTGAACACCAGCAGCTTATAAAGAGAGCCTGACAGGGGAAAATAGCTGATTTTTTTTTCTGGAAAATAGGGATTTCTCTCTGGAATTTGTTAAGTGCTGGTATGCACACACTAAAGCGTGCATGCATTTATTGGAATCAGTAGCTTTGAAGCTATATATATATGTACATATGTCCTTCTATGAAAAAAAAAGAAGGAAAAGAAAGATGGTTCAAGCTCAAATAAATTTTCAGGCTGATCTGGTCAGACAAACAGTAATGTGGGGATATGTAGCCAAGATGAAAATGCCTACATAATGTATATGCTCTCTGACTGACTGTGTGTGTCCTCTCCATGTCTGTCCGTGTGTCAATGAAGTATTCTGTATTTATTTTTCTGTGTGTCTGTCTGGACACGCATCCAGTCCATTTTGCCAGTTCCTCCAAGGTGGTGGAAGTCATAACAATACTCACTTAGCTGTGTTTGTCCATGCACATATTTGAGTTCCTTGGAGTTCTGCGTGTTCCAGTCAGGACTCGTGCTTGTCTGTAATATATGTATGCATGCATTCATGTAGATATGGTTAACCTGCTTTGGTCTGATCTGGAGAGGTGAATAACTCTGTGCAGAAGAGTGTATACAAGGGAAGTTTACTTTTACTAGTTTGCAGACATTTAGCGTATTCTTAGTGTACAAAATGCTGACCACTAAGTGCTTGTGACAACATCAAGGTTTGTAATGATTGCCAACATCAAAGATATTTTAATTTATCAAGATAATAATGTCCATATTCTTGCACAAAATTGATTGTATTTTCTCTCATTCACACATATACACACACACAAAAATCAAAATTACAACACTGAGAAAGCTGGCTTTTTTTTCTTAGGGGAAAGTAGAATATGGCCAAGACTGGTTTTAAGAGGTTTTTTTTGTTTGCTTTTGCCTTATGCTTAGAAATACAAACCTTTAGATTTCTGATGCCAAGTTTGGAAATTGCATCCCTACTAAATGTTTTACAGGCACTTTGAGCTGTCTGGTGAGCCAAAGTGAAAGATTATATTCATCAGTTGTTCTGTCTACTTAATTTGTTAAGTGAAGTAGCCTTCCTGAAGTGGGAGCATTTAACACAGTTTTCCAAAGAACCAGGATTTTTTTTTAATAATGGCAACAGAAATAAAGGTATTTCCAGCACCTTGAATAAAAATAAAGACTTCATTTTTTTATTGCTTAATGTAATAATTTAGGCCCATGCAAAGTGAATGCAAAAGATTATTATTTTGCACTATTTTCTTACCTGAGTTTGGAAATGTGATTCCCTAATATGATACAGAATACCAGCATGGTGAAACAGGTGCTGATATAGAGCTGAGTATACAAGGGGCAGGACAGCAGAAAATTAGGGCATAGGGGCCTATCCCAATTCCCCCAAAGGAAATGGGAACTGGATTAAGCCTAAACCTCTAATTACATAGGGGTAATAGTCTATCAGAACTCCCACAGCAAAAGGGAGTTGGATCAAGCCCAAGACTCTAATTGCTTTTTTTCCTTGCCATTTTTGTTCATATATTTTGTTTATTCTGGCTCATCATTACATTATTTTGTAATTATTATGATAGAATTACTGGCCATTAAATATCTGATTTCTGAATGGTATGGCTTGTTCCTTGTCACTGATGTCCCTGATCTATGTCAGAAGGGTTTGTATATTCTGGTTGGTATAGCAAGAAATAGATACATTTATCTAGTTGACTGAAATGGATCAAGGCTTATACATTTCCTACCAGCACCTCAAAGGCCATACTACTTTTCTGTGTACAGAAAACAATACAGTGCAAGGCCACACCAATGCTTTTTTCTTCCCATTTTTAAATCCTGGTGTTCATACCAATGCCTTCGAACTTCTGTAGTGAGGCCTGGATATGTCTAAGGAATTTTGTAAGCAAAAAGTGTCACTGGCTACGTGGTAGACAGCTATTACTTGGAAAAAGTTACAGTGCTATCTGTCATTTTGGAGCACCCCAATACATTTGTTCAGTTACTTCAATACCGGATTTCCTCCTGCTCTTCTAAGACTAACTCTGCAGTGATATGAGCATCTCATCTACAGTGCAGATGTTTGGACATTTGTCCCCTTTGAATCCCATCCCCAAGCATCCAAGCTCTAGAGTCAGAAGAGAGTTGTGGCACATGCCAGGCAGGAAGGAGTGGGCCCATGCTTCCAGTGGTACCGTGACTGTGCCATACTGACAGTGTCAGATCTACAGGGCTGTACAGAGGCCCTGATACAAAATGGGAATTCTCACTGGTGACAGTAGAAACTGCATGCGTCAGTCTAGGCAGGACTCCAGGTAGATGACGTCAGTGTGGCTTGGAAAACATCAAAGTAGGAAATAAATGCTGGAGCAAGGGGCATTTCTGCAGTCAGTCCTCACAACATAATTTTACTTAGTTGCCCATTAATAATGTCCTGAGACAGAAGGGTACAGCTTTATTTTTGAGATTTTATTGAATTTTCCTAATTTGTACTTTCAATTTGTGACCCTAATATGTAAGCTCAAAATTAGGGGAGAGCTTTATCCAAGACAGGTGTAGGCTTCTGGAAAAGTTTTCTAACAGGAGTCGTAGAAACAGGCAAGCGAACTAGCTATGGATTTTGATAAATTAATGAAAGGGTTTAGATAACAAGGTTGTCCAAAATAGGAAGGTTTTACTTGTCAACACAGGAGATCCCATCCAGTGTATTTATTTGGGGAGCTGGGAAGGAGATAATTATCAATACTGATTGGAAGGATATGGTCAATCATTGATACAGCTATTCGTTGCTTTCTGGGACAGAAGGACTTTGACCAATTTGGAGGTGTTTAGTTCCCAATTAATATATTTTTGGCTGCAGTAGGGGTACAGAAACTTTGAACCAAATAGTAGAAAACGTGTTTGTCAATTAAACTATCTAGGAGATGTATTGGTAAGTGACCTTCAGTTACAGAGATACAAAGACTAAGTAACCTCAGTCACTTCACTGGAATCATTCAAGACTTAAACTGACAGAAAAGAGGAAGGAACGTCTTTCTCTTTGATACCCTTTTATCGCTTTTAGAATAACGCAGCCTTACCGTGTATCTCCTACCTGCACCAGGAAATATGTTTCTCTGTCAGTATTTTGGTGTGTAGCTCACCTGACATAGTCTCTGTCAAAGAAAACTATTTTTTCTTTTTTAACTTAAAAACCTGGTTTGCAGTGTTTCCAATGTGTGCATTCAAATCTGTAGGACCACATCTCACCGTAGGCTTAGCATTTGTTAATATTTGGAAGGGACGTTTGTTAAGAACAAGCGAGGTGAAATAGATCGCGATAAACAACAAAATGTTTTAAAATAGATCCAAATATCTTGATTAAAACAGATTAATTTTTAAATTTGCAATGAAGATTAGTTAGAACTGTTACAATGATTTGTAAAAAGTAGTATCAGAAGGCCATTTTAGTGACTTGGAGTTTGCTGCCCTGGACTATGTAGAGCCTGGGAACTCAGGGAGGCAGAGAAGTAAGCTGGCCAGTCCCGCTTCAGTGTGCAACATGACCAAAGTACACCAGCACTCAGATACTTCAGCCTGTGAGATGGAAGTGTAAAAGCTGCTTCCTTCAGCAGTTCCGTGTGCTAGTGGTAACAAAGATAAGAAAACTATTTAAAACATATACTTTCACCAAAATATTAATCCTAAAAATACCTGTCAGATCCATTTAAAAAGATAGGCTCTCTTTTACCATAAGAGAAAACCACGTGTTTCATTAGTGGGGACTGACATTGAGGTAAGCAGGTCTTCTCTTTATAGGTTTAATGACAAGACATTGTCATGCTTCACCCCCACCTCCTAAACAACAGACGCAAAGTGTGGTACGCTGCAAACAGTGAATTAGTTGGAGTTTTGAGGGGGTTCAGAGGGGTTGGCTTTGGCAGAATTCTGCTAGAAAGGGGGAAAGTGCAGGGTTTGTGATACAGCTTTTGAAAATAAATAACTAAATAACTAATATAAAAAAGTGGAGAAAAGATATTTTACATGCAAAATGTTTTTTTGCCTTTTTTGAAGGAAAGAGTGTGTATGAAGAAACTATTTGAGATAAGTTTAGGAAAAAGATGTTTGAATGCGATAATGTTAATAAAAAAGACCTTTACAAGATTTTGCATACATCTGTAGTTCATTTTAACCACGGGGAAACTGATTCTTCTGCAGAATGCAGACAGACAACATACCACTGGCTTGGACTGGGGCTCTGTGTAGATGGTGTGTTGGCCCTTGGCAGAGAGTGACTTCACTGTGTTAGGCTGATAACATTTTAAATAGTTATTTAAACTAAAGTTTAAACATCTAAAACACACGTTGCAGCCCCCCAAAATCTGAAAATAAAGGTCCATTTTACTGCCTCTCATAGTGCTTATTGCAGATCTCTGTGCTCCAGTGCTGAGGTCATGATGCATTCTCAGGCAGACTGAGATCCCACTCTCTGTAACTTATACAGATAGCTTCCCAGCATTTCACTGATAAAAGTACATGCAGTGCATCTGAATTCTTACTGGCATGCATGACAGAAATTGCTAAAATCATTGCAGCTGCAGATGTTCATATCAGTAACTTTGGCTTTAGTTTTGTCAGTAAAATGTGGAGAT